GTCCACTTGGAGGTCAAGATCGAGGGTCAGAAGGCATGTGGTGCCGATAGATGCTCGGCTGTGGATGCCGTCCGCCAAGCGAGGCCCGAAGCGGGGCGCGGAGTTGCGCGTTGGCGGTGGTGTGGGCGGCGGAGCGGTGTGCTGCCGGATGCATGCGAGGGTTCCTTTGTCTCTTGTCTCTGCTCTCATTCCACACACTCGCCTGTACCTCCACCAAACCTTGGCCTTTCCCCGGTCCAGAATCCCCGGCACAATTCATGCTCCACCGCCGCTCGGAGATTTGTGTGTTGTCTGCGTCAACTTCACACAGCTTGTCCTCACACACAATCGTCTTGCCCACACGTCACTCACACTTACAGACTTGCCCACACGTCACCCACATTTGAAGACTCCTGCCTTCACATTTCACCCCATCTGTCTCACGAAAACGTCCTCGCATCGAGGCATATAAACTTGCGCATTTGGCATCCTTCCCTGCAACCGTATCTGCTGCAGCGACGGTGCCTTTTGTCTGTGCAACGTATCTTACCTCGATCGGCGGCGTGTGCAGAGCGCGCTCGCTGAGCGCTAGTCCGTCGCCGTGCCTTAAGCATGCCTTGCTTCAAGGGTCTTGCAGTCAGCATCCACACTCCAGAAGGACCGCTCGCCGAATACTCCATTCAGAAGCAGAGCAGGCAATCACGTATTACCTCGTACATCCCAGTACCACCCCCCAGGATCCCTAACGAATCAACCACCGGCAAGCCCGAACAATCTACCTTTGCGGTCTCGATCACTCTACTTGTCCCCGGACAACGCGTACCGTACTCGGCCCCGAAGCCGTCACCAGAGGAACCTTTCCCGCTCGGAAAGGTCGTTGGCTCGTTCCCTGGCACACTCGGTGATCGTGGACGGTATGGCCCCATCATAGGACCTTACATCCCTCGCACTGCTTCTCCAAACGAGACCTTGGCCGCCTACATATATTTCGACGGTCGACCAAAAGAGGAGGTAGCCACTCTCTTGAGGAGAGGAGAAGAGACATGGGTGAATTCTCGATGGGTCAGCATTCCGGCTTCTGAGGGCGGCGGCATTGCGGAGAGGGAATTTCTCTTCCGTGAAGTCGGTCTCGAGCGGTGGTTGAATGGACTTGACCTCGTAGGCAAGGACAAAGAAAAGGCCGCCAAGATCGAGAAGAGGCACAGGAAGCTCGAAAGAAGAAGGCAAGCCCAGATGGACGACAGCGACGATGATCTCAACAGAAAAGTATCAAATCACAAAGATCGTGTGCTGCGGTATGGGGCCGATGCACAGTCACCAGTCGAAAGCCTTAACGATGAGAATGATCTCTCGTCGGACGATTCTGATGACGAACCTCCAGAAGCTGAAGCTGCTGGTCAGATCAAGGTTGCCTTGTTCCGCGTCCTTGCCAGCGGCGAGGTGAAACGTGGAGAATATGAGCCTCAATTCGACGCCCATGACGACGATGGAGAAGCCAACGACGGAGACGCGGACGCTGACATCGAACACACCACTAGCCTCGCGAAGCCAAAATCCCTCGATCCCAAGTCTATTAGCACTCAGACTGTGACCGGTCTTGATCCTCCTGATGCCCCTTACGCCGTCTTCACCTTTCTCTACCGCAGCGACAGTAAGTCTACCTCGCCGTTCACGCCAAGTTCATGGGTCTATACTAACGTAATGCAGAGCAACTTCGCAAGATGGGCATGTTAGAGTCGACTCAGGTCAACGATTCACCAGTTACTGCTAAACGAAAGTCCACCGATTTCAGCAAGCTTGGTCCCTTAAACAAATTCGGGACTGTTGGCTTCACGGGGTATAGAGAACAAGCCAATCCTAAGAAGCAGGATTCGAAAGGGGACAACGACATGATGGATGACAGCGACGCCGATGATGACGAGCACGACAAGAAGCGTAACGAGAAAGATGATGATGAACCGATCGAACTGGAGCAGAACGGTCAGCATTTGTCGCCTATGGACGCTCGAAAGCAAGGCGAGCTCACTGAGGGTGTGCGTAAGATCAAAGTGAGTATGCCGCATCAACACCTGAATATCAACAACTTACAACCAAACAGCTCAAACGCGTTCACTCCTCCGACCCCGTCACCGACACTCGCAAATCCCCTCATCTGAAGACAACAGATTCGCCTCCTGCAGGTCCTTCTGCTATGTCCACAGCCGGTACTCCTAATGCACCCAAATTCAGCAATGTCATGGAGAGTACTCCACCCAATGGTTCATCAGGAGGGGTTGCAAGCCCGTTCAAGAAGCACAGACCCAGTTTAGATGGCATTGACAGCATCACCCTTCCACCAATGAGCACACCAGCTGCGAACACTGCTGCTACTTCCGCGACCGATGCGACGAACTCCAAAGGACAAGTCGCCCCACCGGCAGCCTTGCCTCCTGCTCCTCCTGCCGTCTCTGGTGCTGTCGATGAGGACGAAGAACTGTAAGACCCCGGCATGCACAACCGCGTCCTTCATCTTCAAGTGTAGAGCGCCATACCAAAAGGCGCTCAGCACAACGAATTTCTTTTGTAATCAATCACGATAGAGTCTAAACGACTTGGTCTATTTCTCTTTCCCCAAATCTCCTTCGAACTAGATTTCTGTGTACAATTAGCGACACTCTTGGTCAAGGGGAGGGGACATTCCCCCTCCATGGAACTTGCGATATCATGCCTGGAGGGACCACTCGATACAAAGACATAGCGTTGCTATCATGCAGACGGCAGCATTTGACGAGAGTAGCACACAGCCTGGCCATGTGGAGGTTTGTCAATCGCACTGAGCGACAGAGCAAAGTGAGGAGGGGACTATAACATGCATTCGCCAGATCGGGATATCGCAGCTAGCTAGTGTCGTCAAACACGACCGAAATTGAATCCATGCATACCCATTGAATTCACTCTTCCTTACTCGAGTGTAAAAGAGTCACAGATAGCTGCCATCGGGTGCCTGTTTTTTTAGCTCTCTTGCGTTCGTCCCTACACGGCCAACTGATCTGGCACACAAATAAGTCCTAATACAACCATGGTCCTGTGCTGCAGACGAGTGGCTGGGGAAAAGACTCTACAATCAACACATCCTCCCGTCGGTGAGCCTATAAATCTTCTGTGATACCTCGTCTCTCACAGCACTGATATACGCCCACCAGTCACGTAGAAAAATTGGAACGGAGACAGTTGAGAATTGCACGCACGTCTCAACTACGTCGAGTATGTAAGGGACGTACCTGATCGTTCCAAATTTCTATATGCCGATGATTGTTGATGACGATACCCGAGTGCCGTGCAATACTCCCCACTGTGCCAGTTCCTTACTGGAAATCATGTCACCAGATCCGAATCTTTCGTGGCATTGCGCAGTCCCACAAAGCACAAGCCTATCTCTGTTCCTTGAGAATACGCCAGTCGCTCGTACATAGCCGGGCATTACGTCTCCCGGACTTCATCCTCGTCGAGCCTATCATACATGGCTAGTCTGTGATGCTTCTAAGGACCTCCGGCTTGCGTGCTCGTGAGCTGAACCTCCACCCCTTGCTGTCCTCATAGCCAGTGGAGGAATACGTTCTAGTGGCATGTTGGAGGCATTGCGCAGTATGTCTTCTCATGATAGACTATATTTGTCCTCGTTTTTGAAACCAATAGAAAGATGTCAGCAATTACTAAGGTTGTAAAGAGGGCATGTAGTTGAGAAGCTTGTGCCATGTGTCCAACGATAAACTGTGGTGGCCAACAATGGAGAAGTGTTACGAGATGGGCCTATTGTTCCTGATATAATGACTGCTGAGATCCCCAATTGAGACTAACATGGTGGCCCGCGGGTTCATTGAAGCCACGTTGAAAGAGCCTGGGGCACAAAGCCACTCTACCTCAGTCTTGAGGTAGCGACTATACCGCCAAGGTTGTGTTGCTCACGTTGTTGACGAAGATTCCAAATATCCTCGACATCCTAGATGGGTCTATGGTGTTGACTCGATGCTGTCCTTGCGTGAGGGGCGTACTACTTGGCCGCGGTGGGATGATCCAGTAATTCCAATGATATAAGATATTTTCACTGACCTAACACTGGTTAATCTGCATCCCAGATTAACCATTGCGGTGCACGGCGGTGGCCGCTGACTGCAGGTATCGCAAGTGTGGATTGAGCTGTTGTCGTTATAGGACCGGTTCTAATGGGATTACGACTCCGATCCTGCATTGTCGTGCTTTGCTCGGCCTTGCCAATGATTATTAGGCCATAATATGCTTCGGCGGTTCTGGTATTGGTCGAAAGCAATACCCAGGTATATAAGTATTGTCTAATATATCCGGAGCCTGGCTGAAGTTGGTCCAATATTATCCCAGGAGACAGTTGCAATCCACCACAGCTGGAAATGTTGTACAGTAGACCGCATGAAGGAGCATGACGTTTTGCATGCACATGTGAGGTCCGAGATCGAGAGCACGCCGCGAGTGCAGTAATTGTACATGTTGCGCTGGATGTACTGCACCAATCCAGGGGTCCAGATGCTGCGATTATCCTGATACTTCTAAGAGCTAGTACAGAGCAAACCGTACAGTAATTTTGACCTGTGACATGAGGCGGATCTTATATGTGTTGATGGTAGACCTTCAAGGAGAACAATGCTACAAAAAGTCGAGTTCAACCATACCGCGTGTTTGAGATCATGATAACTGCCAACCTATATTTTATATTGTCCTGTTAGAGCTCATACTCAACCTGGCCATTTGGGAAGAGTCTAAGTAAGAGTGTTTGTGGCCGACGAGACCTTGGAGGTGATCCCGCAAGGCTCGCCGTCAAGGGCCCTAATACGACCACAAGTCAAAACAAAAAGAACAATTCATTGGATAAGTAGGCGATCGAAAGTTGAAACTTTCCGACGCAAACATAATTCATTTATATCTGCTTGATTGTTGTGTCGATATCCTTCATTGTGGCCAAGGCATTGTAATGTATATATTTTAGTAAACTTTGCTCGTTTATCACAACTGGGCATCTGGCGCAGTGGTAGCGCGTTCCGTTTGCATCGGAAAGGTCTAGGGTTCGATCCCCTAGTTGTCCAATGAGTTGTTCTTTTTGTTTTAACTTGTCCCGATGGGCTGTTTTTTGGCTTCCTTTCCCTACGCGAGACGAAGACTTTTTGAGCGAAAAAACATGTCCAACAGTGTCTCCTGGCCAAATAGCCATGATAAGCGCCATTTGAAATCTTTTGTGTGAGGATCTGCGGCCCCATGAATACTTTGCGCGGTTGCCGACCGCCCGCCCCGCATCTTTTCACACGATACCAAAGCATATAAAAGCTCGGGGCTTTCGATGCTAAAAAGCTGAGCAGACGGCGTATCAAACACTACTCTAGTCATTCGGTATGATGATCATACAACACGATTGAATGGTAAATAGTATTGTCTTATCCTAGGTAATACAGGTGAGCTTTTTCTGGTACGCAGTGTTGACTTTATTTCGGAGTCACACAAAAGACAGTCTTCACCTATTCGCGGGTACATCGCCATACTTACACTATATTAAGACCAATCAAATCTGCGCTATCATCAACACCTTGCATGGACAAAAATATCCATGTCACCGTCCACAGATCACGTGCCTTCGAGGTGAGGTCGGGAGGTTCCGCGTGCCTTCCTCCTTTGTGAGCAGTGCAATTCCTCTACGAACACAACCACACACAAGGTCTACCGCAGGGCGGACGTACTATGTTCTACCCTCGAGAGCGATATGTTATGACTGTCATGGCGCTGATAGGCAGCTGACTCGCGCCGCGATCGCTTCAGCGAACATTCGTCTACTGTGGCGGAACCCGCGGCATCCATCCAGCGAAGTCACTAGCCAAGCCACTCAGAGGGCATCTACTCCACTGTGTACCTCTCCCCTATAGTGAGCAACGTGGAACGCATTCTGCGAGGCGACCAGTCCGGTCCTTCTAATGGCACTTACCGCACCGTATACCTGTCTACAACGGCAGCTGACATGGGTGGCACCTAGCGAAGCTGCCAATCCAGCAACTCGGTGGCCAACCAGTCTACCGAATGCCAGTCTATCTAGGCTCCGTACACCTTGGACTATATGCGGCCCTTTTCGGCGAAGCTGATGATGGAACACCAAGGTGGACCGCTGCGGAGTAGGGCCTGGAGCGCTATCCAATCTTTTTGGCCCTTGGCAGGGCATGGTCATGATCTCGAGCTGCAGAGATGCTTAAGACGGCGACAAGAACAAACAGCATCCATTGGCGTCGATGAGGGGTGGTCGGCCGCAACCTGTCGTATAATGGGAGTCGACCAGACCTATGGGCAAGCGCTCTTTCGACAGCGTCAACTAGATTGAGCAAGGAGCAGGTCAGGTACGAGAGCTTGCGAGTCACTCTAATCGCAGTATAGTTTAGAGGAATGCGTTTTTGCTTTGTTGACGATGCGAATCAAGGCATGGGTCTGACGGTATGGGTGTTCACTTTGCTGATGGTGCGAGTCATGGTATGGATGAGATCACATGGTTTCCAGTTTGCTGACGATGCGGATCATGGTATGCATGACATGGTAATGGTATCCGCTTCTTTGAAACGACTGCAATGTCCCAGATTGGCATCTGGGCCTAGAAATCGGTGCCATATTACAAATTGATTTTGCAGGCGATACCAAGGTTACTGAATTCTTGTACCAGATACTGGAGACTGTAGCCATAAGATCAGTATCTTTGTTCGATTGTGGTATCTTGAAAAGAATTGCAGGACTGTTACTCGGCATGCGATCATAGATCATGACAAAACATATCCCTCGTGGGCCGACGGGGAGAATCTCTGGGAAAGCTTTGCACTGCACTTCTAGGACTCTATGGCTGATTCAACGAGGCATAAAGGTTGTAAGCATAAATATTTTATGTTATCATGTATTGGTCAAAATATTGTGATTAAAGAAGAGATTTTGATTTCAGCTGCATTTAGTGCAACTCGTAATGCCATCACTGAGACGCCGGCTCAGCATTCAAGGGATTGACATGTCTAAGCAAGCCCATTTTACCATATAAAAAAAAAAGCAAATCTATGAACAGCCAACGCTCACCGCCCAAAAACGCTGTTGACAATCTCGCCACCACGAATAGACAGAATAGACAGCAGAGTATCGCTAAGACCATGCGTCTTCTCATTACATCCCTGCAGCCACACGCCAGCGTCAGCGCCGACCTTGCCCTCGGCAAAGCGCACGCTGTAGTCTCTCTGCACGTCAAACTTCTCCGCGCCTTCGGGAAGCAGCGGACGGCAGTCCTTGAGGATCTCCTCGTGCATGTCACGCTCGTAGCCGGAAGCAACGAACATGAGGTCGACATTGAGATGCGACTCCTTCTGGTACTGGTCCGTCGAGCGCAGGTTCAGTGACAGCGGATCAACCAGGGTGCCCTCGCCCAGGCTCTCGATGGCTGTGTTGGGCACGATGTTGCGGGGCCACGTGGATTCGTCGTTGCCGTGTGTGATGCGCTGCGTGTACAAGTCTTCGTAGATGTGCTCGAGCAGGTTGAGGCGGACGACGCCGTAGTTGGTCGCCTTGTCGGCGATCAGGTTGGCGGCACGGCGTTCGGCTGGTGTGCCGTACACAAGATCTACACGATCCGGATCGAAGACTTCGTTCACGAACGGTGAGTCGTCGCTGGGGCGCAGCGCAGTACCTTTGATGAGCAGCCATGACCGGCTGTTCGGGAAGCGAGACGGTAGGTCGGCGAAAATCTCGGCTGCTGACTGACCGCCACCAACGACGGCGATGCGTAGTGGGGCTGAGGGGTCGAGATCGGTGGAACGGAGGTAAGCCTGGTATTTTGAGGAATGAACAATGCGAGGGTGTTGTTGGGGGAGGTTCTGAGGGATCTTTGGCCGTCCTCCTACACCCACGAGGACATGTTTCGATCTAAGAGAAGTAATTTCGCCGGTCTTGATGTTGCGGGTTGAGACAGTGAATGACTTGGTCGGCTTTCCGGAGGTGGTAGACTCAGGTACAACGGACAAAACTTCCTGGCCGTAAGACACCACGGAATTGAAGTGGCTGGCGCACCACCTCATATAGTCCTCGTACTCAAGACGGCGGGGCAGGAAAGTGCTAACATTGGTGAATTGTACAAGGCGGTTGTTACGGTGGAGGTAGTTCAGGAAGGTGAACTCGCTGCGGGGATTGCGCAAGGTCGCAAAGTCCTTGAGGAAAGAAATCTGCATCTTCGCTCCAGGGATTTGCATGCCGGCATGCCAGGCGAATTCAGGTTGTCGTTCAAGAAAGGCCACCTTGGGCAGAGCAGAAGCGTTGGCAGCTCCTCCGTTTGCGTGCTCGAAAGAATCGTGAAGAGCAACGGCGATGGCCAGAGACGCAGGACCGAATCCTACACAGACCAGATCATGTAGCTCATCCTCGGGCACATGCCGTAAAAATGGGCTTTGCTCTGGTTCTGTGGTGCCAGCATGACGAGAGCCAACGCTGGAGGAACGAGTTGATGGACTTCGGGAGTCTGGAAGCAAGGCGTGTGGGGTCATGATTGTTGGTTTGGCGGAGAAAGGTCAACGCATTCGATGTTGATATAGTGCTGTTGATAGTGATCAGTAGTGGAAGTTGGAAGAATTGCATGTTATGACACTCGGAAATCATCTTGTGCTCGAGACAAATCGCAACGTCGTGCTGCAGTATTTAATGAAGGTGATAGCACTTACCCAGGTTGATGTAAGGACAGGGTCCTCTGTATAGGAGTGATAGGCGAAGCGTACCAGGAAGGGAGAGTGTACTATGGTATATATGAACTTTTGGGTAAGGACAGAAAGGATGAGTCGGCTTCACGCCCGACTAACGCCACAAGTGCCTGGAGACGGAGCTTGGTATGGCGGGCCGGAGGTCGCTCGGAGTGCAGCCTGAAAAACGAGGTCTTGGTCAAGGCTTGCTAGTGTTGTGGAGCACGAGAAGGATGAAGGGGAGCCCTGCAAACAGCGGGTATAGAGTGTATTAAAGCTTAGTGAAGCGTTTGTTTTCTGGCAGGCAATGCTGCGTGGGGAGGAGCCATGGGGCCAGACGTATGAAACGCCAAACACGGACGATGCGCAGTCATGGATCTGTGCTGGGCCACGTCGAGCTGGGCGACCGAGGCGATGCGAGCACAAAGCAAATGAGACCGGATGTCGTCAACGACCGAGTCCACAAACGCATCAGCGACCATCATCGAAGCAGGTTAGAGTTCTCAGTGTTACCGCCGAATCGGACGGAACTACTGAACGTGCACTGACGTTGCAGAATTTTCATCTTATCAGATCATCTCCCGCCAGTCACGCGTGGGTACGCAGATCGGCAATCTGGGCGGGTTGAGGCGGGATGGTGCGTGCAAATTGCATGTGTGCGCTGTAGCGACTCGGAATCAAAGTTATCTGATCCGTCCCCGCCCGCTGATCCCTGAGAAAATTTTTATCAGATGAAGCCCCCAAGCCTCTAAGAAGCGCCAAGTGGAGAATGGCTCGCTTGGTCCAACGTCGTGGTGGCCTTCCTTCGTTTTCGGTGGACCAACCCGCGGATGGTGGCATCTCTTTTTAGCGGAGTCTACGACCATTTCGATTATGAAAGGAATTAAAGGCGGTCTGACCAAAAAGTGGTCTGATGCGCAGATAGCCAGATTGCAAGCGTCCAGTCGGGCAGGGGTGCCTTTGTCTGCACTAGGTCCCAACCCGAACGACCACGAATGTTTGATGAGCAGGGCAATATCTCCGGAGTGGGTATACTCCGCGCGTCGGAACAGACGATCAAGCAGCTGGCATATGTCACCACATCGTCGCTGGTGTCACACAATACGCACACCGCCGTAACGCAGCCCTTCTGTACGTTTGATATTGACAGCCGTTGAGCAGTAGCAGGAGCAGTCGTTCATCTGTGGCCATGTCATGCCATGCAGGATCAGGTATGCGACATCGGAGCCCAGACTCTTGCATGCGATCCCGAGCACGTGCGGAAACCGTAGCCTGGGTTGAAGGTGCTGTCAACCTGGCATGATGGTCCGATCAGATCCAGCTTGCTTCCGACTGCCATATGACTTGCCATGCTC